ATAACGTAGGAACCTGTGTAACTTTTATAATTTATAATAAGAACTTATTAGGGTCATTTTCATTGAGGTTTCCTCAGAAAGTTTGAAATTTAAACAAAAAATAAACCGATAATGTACTGTTTTTTTTATAGAAACAATACCAAAGATTTTTATGTCGCCACTTAATATGGCTTATCGTATTTTCTTATAAGTGTTTTATAGCATCCTTATCATGCTCTATTACAATGAAAAAGAGAGGCTGCTTCCAAAGTTACAAATAGCAAATACGAATAACTATGTAAGTGTACAAAGTACAAAAACTAGTCAGGCATTTTGCCGCATAACGGCTCTTTACACTTGTCATAAATGCGTTCGTATTTTTGTCTTGACTTGTCTTGTGATAACGCATAAGAAAAAAAGGAAGGACTACAAAGTCTTTGTAATTTAATACAGTGATATCGAGGGACGACTCCACACGCGCCCTAGTTCGGTTCGTACTTTTTTATTTCATTCCGATATACGGCCGGATAAAATTACGCCGGGGTATTGTCAGGCGATTATTTATAGAAAATTTGGTCGCTTTGTACCGTTTCCGAGTGCACACTTTGCCATCGTGACCCTATGATAACGGTGTTTTAAGTTTTTTTTTTCAGAGACAACCGTTATTTGACACATTGTCAATTGTCTGGTGTGCTGATGATGTCAGGGCTTTTGGACATTCTGATTTCCTATTAAGGTTACTAATTATTACTTATTGATAAAAATTAGTAAACCTTAGTACTATTTATTGATAAAACTTAGTAAACTTTAGAACTAATTATTTAGTTTTAAACTTTTATTGAGAATTGATTGACTTTTAACGATTAATGAACTATCCTACAAGAGAAAAGATTTTAAATGAATCTTCAAATAGGATCCTACTTAATAGCATGTAAAATAACGTGCAATTTAATATCATATCAAATTTTCAACTATAATTAACAGTACAAATAACTGCCATCTATCGTTTGAGGCAAGAACTGTCTAGATGTATCTCAAGTTAAAATAGCAACACTAAACCCTGCAAGTTCTGCTATTTTTAGTTAATTATTTGTTTTTATTGTATTTTATTAATTTACCTATATGAAATAACTAACCTAGTACCTACTCCAGCAGTAAATACTACATTTACGATGGTTATCTCTCTTTATTTCGCAGTAATTACATAGCATCATTATCTTAAAGTGAGACAAAAATCTTAATAATCCTGAATCTTTCCAAAGATAAGGCAGTGCTTCTTAGGTGTTGGTTATTTAAGTATTTTATTCTGTAATCATAAAAAATGCATTACAGCGCCATCTAAGCAATAACGTTGGAACTATGTTGTCTGGTGTTTGCTTCAAGCTTCAAAGGACAAAAATAGCAGAGATATATTTTTTTTACCAAATTTAAACCAAGAGCACCGTAGAGAATACTAAGACATTAAATATCTTAATATTCAGAATAATTCGTAGAACTTTAATAATCCAAGTGAAATATTTTGTTTTCATTCAGGATTCGCATAAAAGGTACAACCCGTACCGAGCGGTACTCAACGCTGATTGGTCGAGTGGTTTGGCGGGGCGCATGCGCACTGGCTGCCTCTTCGGCCGAAGTCGAATACTGGCGCGTTCTCTACGAGATACCAGGGCCACAGAGCTCCGTAGGAGTTACTTTAACAAACTAAATCAACGGACAAGTTTAAGCTCACTCGCCTTGGAATAAGATCGAAAATGGATGAAATTATCATGAAACGTTTACATTAGACCATGCCGCTAGATAAGGAGGTGTAAGAATATTAACGTAAAATGGACTTTATTGCTCGAGGGAAAATCATAAGTTACTTTGGAGCAAGATATTAAAAGAGTTTACCGAATTTGACACCGCTGCGGCGGCGCTAGTTGGAGAGTGCCTGGGAACTTTCGGTCTACGAATTGCCGTATTTCAATTTAATTAGGAGCCGCCGCAACTGCTACTTTTTTATAGGGGGCAGGTAGAATTAGTAGGTAATCATTTGTGAATGTTATACCTAGTATGGTTCAGGTTTTTGTTTTATTAGCATCGATTAACTTTATGGGTTGTTAAATTCTCGGGAAAGCTTTCAGCTGAAAGTTACCTGCTAATTACAGAGTGATTTACGTAAAAGCCATTTAAAATTAGCGTGGGACCTATACTATTTGTAAACATATAGAACTAGAGCCAAACGTGGTAGGCTATTTTTTATCTGTTTAGTTTATTTTTTCCGAAACAATAGCAATATTAGGAAAGACTGATAAAAACATTACGAATGTTACCGTATTTTGAAATATTAGCGAAAATAAAAGGATTAATATGTATCTCTTGGGTTCACGTAATTTAATGTCCATAATAATCAATGGAAGTAGCTTTCTAGTAAAAAAATATATGGATGAACTAAATGGATCACGTAGATTACGAAATATACCAAATATGTAGGTACAAAATTGGTACACCTAGCCGGGCGAGTTTAAAAGTGCTATTCCGATTTTGGCTGCCTGCAGCAGATGCAGGGCAGCACTTGATTCAGCTGCAAGTAGCCAGGCTGCGGATGCACCACTGGTTCATATGCATTTGGATGATATAGGTATATATACCGAGAGCGGCTGCAGCCAAGTTCGGAACGTATTTCATACAAATGCATATAACACTGCCTCCGATTACAGAACAAAAGGGTGTTATTCCGATTTCAGCTGCAATGCACTTGCAGCGAGCATAGGTAGGTACACAGCCGTCGCACTTGCAGCCTGCAACTGCTGTCAGTATTTATTCCGGCCGGTCGCTTCCTATATTTCAAGAATACCGGCGTGTGGAATAATCGTGAAAATAATTATTACCTATTTTAATAATTGAAATGAATGTAATAAAATTACACTTTATTTGAATTGACTTATGAAAGCTCTTTTGAATCGTCCAAATTTTTTTCCTACCACCCATTCAGGATATCTTTTAGCTGATAAGTAGAATGACTAACAAATGACTAACAATAATTACTGAGTAAACAAATAAATATATTGTCGACGATGGCGACGACCGCAGCTCGCAGATACACTTGTATTTTAGCTGATGCCCGGCTGCACGTGCAACTGAAGCCGGGTTCGGGATGTACCTATCACATACAAGTGTACCAGCGTTGCCATTGATACGGCAATTACCCGTAATATACGGCAATTTGAGCTCATAATTTCAGATTATACGGCATACGGAAGGTTTGTCATTGCCGTATAATAATACTAACTACCTATAAATTTTAATAAATAAAATTCGGTAATACGGCAAAATCATTATTTTTATTTAAAAATAAGGCAACTCTTTCAAACTTGATGGCAACACTGAAGTGTACACAAACCAGTCGTGCACCCCCCGCAGTCGAAACACTTGCAGTCGCTGCAAGTGCATCCTGCATCAGCATCAGATTTAAATAGCCGATCCAAATCCAGTTAAAATTTGATGCAAATTATAAGTCATTTAGTAGTCGGTACTTACATGCTGACATAATTTAGACTTCCAAGCTAAATCGAGTTTTTATATTAAAGGTCCACTTGTAGCAAATTTCCTAAATCCTGATTCAACTAAAACTGGATTTAACTCGTAGAAAAATGTAACACGAAAATGTCTTTTGACATTATTGTATGGACTAAATCTAGATTTAGTTATATTGATATTTACAAATGTGCTGCAAGTGGACCTAAGTATGAGTTATATTTTAGCGAAACCCTTTTTATGTGTGCTCGATTTAACATGAATTCACTCTGCAGATTACCAAGGCACCGCCACTTCGTCATCACGTCAGTGTAGACTAGACTTACCTTTTTGCTTAAGAGTAACTCGAATTTTATGAACAAATAGATAAATAAAATATCAGCAAGACTAAAATAAGTGTGGCACACCTCATATTCAGCCGAGTATGTGTTACTTTAACAAGTAAGGGAAGGAATATCACGTTATGTTTACCAAGTGATTTCCGACTTGGAAAGACTACGGTCGAATATGCTTAGTACTCTAAAAACCACATGGCAAACAGTTTTGACGTGTGCTAGTCTATTGTCAAATTTATAACTAGGTAGTTAGTTAGTCATAAGATTCCATGCAATAGAGATGATGACGGGGTACAGTAAACGAAATTCTATTTAGTCCGTCAGTTAGATGATCAAAAAATAATGGACTCGTATTTTTTCTTTGGGCAATCAACCAAAAAATGATAAAGTTATAGCGCGTCAAAGTTTGGGAGTAGGGGCTCGTGACGTCACTTTTTAGTGAATTTTCACTTAAGTGTACTAAAACGTGACGTCATGCGATTTTTCAAATCAATATATCTCTGCAATGTTTATATTATGTGAAAAAAGAAAAAATACGTGTCCAATAGTTTTTGATAATCTACCTGATAAACGAAGAAAAAGAAATAGTCATCATCCCTAGAAGAAAGTTCAATTAGTTTGCAAAATATAGGCAAAGACGACCGTGCGTAAAAAATGTTACCCCGACAAGGTTACCTAATCATCACACAGAATTTCAATGTGCAAACTTGTTTACTGTCAAAAACTTAATACAATCTCAAGAAGGGCGCTATTCTAAAGAAGTATTCAGTTTCTCACTCCCGTCCCTGGGTCACAGAACATAAGACTGCTAGGGGAGAGTTCGGAATAATAATGAAAAACGCGCGTGAAAAGGAACCCAAAAACCCTTACGTTAATTTCGGCACAGCTGCTACCAAGATCATTCACAATACAAGGATTAACACACGAAAAAAGAAATCATAATCACACAAAACAAAATATGCACTTATTCTTTCTTTACATAAATCGTGCAAGCGTGTTTTGAAATTCGATGCAAGCGAAAATAAGCAGAGCGGTTATTGCGAAACAATCGCACAATGTGACGGGCCAAATAAAAGTTGCGGCTGATATGTGATCTCGGGCGCAAGTTTCGTAAGGTATCTACTAAGGTAAACATGCAATGTTAGTTTTCGTAAAACAATTAAAGCTCACCTTTCTAATTCTTTTCTTCATTATACGCTCAGCGGCGTATACGCTGTCGCCGAGCTCCATCTTGTGCATCCCCAGTTTGGAAGGTTTAAAATATACACAAAATCCAAGAAAACACTGCAATCCGATTTGTGTGATCCAATAATCACTGCATCCAATTATTGCGGCACTGCAATCCGGTATACATTCTTTGTCACTTCACACTTCGTGCACTGTCACAGTCAAAAGTTGCCGCGCGAACGATCCTTTTCCGTAGCACGCAGCGACACGTCCACCGTTTACGAAGTTGCAGGAGAACTGAAGAAGGGGGAGGCAGCCCTGCCCCGCGCGACCCGTGCGTCTCTCACTCCGCTAAATGCCGATAGAGCGCGCTACGTGCTCGCAAACAGCGCAGCAGCGGCGGCGGTTCGATATCTGTAAACAAGTTTTATTTTCATCGCGCTGTTTCGTATTTTCAGTATCTTAAAATGATACCCCGTGTTAGAAATACATAATTTCGGTTAAGCCACAATTACTTTTTTAATTATATTTACAACAGCATATTGTTGATACATTGTATATAAAAATATTACATAAGCAATTATATACCTAAACTCTTAATTACTATATAGCTCAAATCAAAGATTGATTAAGGGTAAGATATCAGCAAGGGATTTAATCGCGTCTTGCAGCAATTTATAATCCAATATAAGTACAATAAAGTTAAGTTATATTGGTTTGGTAGGTATATTGGTTCGGTTCAGCAGTGAATGCGTCTCGCTCAGCGGCGCGACGCGGCGGGCGATTCCCCTGTGTGGCGGTGGAGGCACAAACGCGACGTTGCCGTTGTGCGCCAGCTGCGAGAGAAAGACCGAACGCTACCCTATTATTTACGCGCGACGTTGCCAAGCCGACCGGCCTACGTTGATTACGAGGACACCGCTTTTACGTTCGATCATCCGGCGCAATAATATTCAGTTTACAGAGATTATTTGACGTACAAATAATTGTATGATAATTTCGTTTGTTTTTCACGTTCTATAGTAATTGTAGATACTATTGATGTGTTTACCTGAGTATAAATCAGCTGATAAGGGTTTTCTTCATTAATGATCAGTAGTAGCACTAATGAACATCACCAAACACCATTACACACTGCAATCCAGGTTTTTCTGTATCTGTACTGAAACCGTCAGCGAAAGCGACCTTCCCACACTGCGAACGTAAAGTAACTAAGGCATTTTCGGTCGTATCGAATCGTGTCGGCATTCGTGAAAGGTCGGTATTTTAGACCTGGCGGGGTGCGGGAGGGAGCAAGCGAAAGCGGATCCGATTGGATGTGGAACGCGGGCGGCGGGCGATGCGCGGCGACAGCCAATCAGAAAGCACGACGCGGTGCCCCGCCTGCTGCCAGCCAGCCGTCGCACATTTTCTATCTCACTTTAGCCGCCAACTCGGTCGATCTGAATGTTGACTTGTTTTTTACGCAGCGCGTCTCACATAGAAAAATAAAACGGACATTTTGAATCACGTGAGACGGAATGAGAGAAGGGTCGCCGGATCCGGGCGCGGCGTGTGCGTTTATTTATTTTGTCGACATTGCCGAGGGAGAGATTATGGCGCGATAAATAGCTACAGCTTGCTAGAGCGGCGACTGCGGCGAGATTTTATTTTAGAAGTGACAGCATGATGTATGAGCAGACTTAATGGATTCATGGGCTCATTCTGGACAAGGGCTACATATGGTATCAGATTGTTATATTTATAACCACTTGGAATATGGTGAGCCACAAAAATCAAAAAATTCTCTTTTGAATCTTGTTGTTCCTAGAAGGCGTTATAATATGACTGGGCTATCAATAGCTCTTTATGGCGAAAAATTATTATCTAAATGGGTATTTTGGTTAGGAGATCGACGACGGAGGTGGTCAGCGCGTTCGGCCTGCGATCGTGGTAGGTATAACTACCACCTTTCGCCTTTAGCAACTTTCGCCATGGTCGGTTTTAATATGGGAGACCAAAAACTCATTATTTCGAGCTCCTCCGTGTTACGTAAGGCACGTTAAGCCGTTGGTCCCGGCTGCATCTGCAGTCGTTAGCACCCACCAATCCGCACTAGGCCCGCGTGATGGAGCCCGGTCCTGTATCCCTGTTCCATCCATAGGAAAGGGCTGTGCCTCAGCAGAAGGATATTAATAGGCTGATGATGATGAGGTGTTGTATGTATTCCCAAGGGGCATAGCCCTGCCTGCCCTGCCTTAAATCCGGCCCTGCTTATAGCTATATCGTATCTTGAATGTAGGCTTCACACTTTGAATAATGAAATGAAAAAAAATCTTTGTCAACAGACCCCTCTTTTCCAGTGGGCACTTTGGGCATGTGCCCAGGGCCCCGCGATCGATAGGGGCTCACCTCAGATCATATACAAAGTCCCTAGTTCCTGTTAGATCACCAAACGGGGGTCATAGGGGCCCCATTATTCTAATATGCCCAGGGCCTCCAATAGGTCAAAGACGGCACTGTTTTTCAAGCAATCAGCAATTGAACCAATGTTGGCACGAGTTGGTATTCAAGATTGATCGCCGTTATTGGTTTTATATGGCCAATAATTCGCCAACGGCAATGCCTACGATCGGTAAACATTTTGGGCAACGTTGGTAACAGCGTGTACAAGATATTGATAGAGTAATCAGATCATTGCTCGCTGCGATATTTCAATTTGCGAATCTGGTCCACTGCCAGTCGATGTTTCCGCGCTTTATTGTTAATACTATTACTGCAAGGCAGTACCATTCGTAATTTGAATATGAACTTAAAACGGCGTATTAACGATAAAATCAAGACACAGCCCAGCCGTTTGGGTAAACCACGAAGTTTCTATTAAGCTGAAGAGTCTGGTTAAGGTCTTTAAGGTACCATACAATTAAATTTGGCAAATAAATCATCCTTTCTCGTTCCTGGCGCTAAAGTACCCATTGTATTTGCAGCAGTACCACGCTGGCTGGATAGCAATAGACAGGCTTTACACCACTTATTAACATCATCATTATCAGCGAATTAATGTCCCCATTGCTGATGGTGCACAGGCCTTCCCTATGGACTGAATAGGGAGAAATTAACATACCTAATTTGAAATACTTCAATGCAGTTAAATATCGATGGTAGCTAAAAAACAAAAAATCCACTTGTACCAAGAAAATAACACTAGAGAGATGCGCCTGACTGCGGCACGTTTCCGCGTCCTGCAGATAAACGGTGAGATGAACGCACCGTGTTGAGCGGCTGCACGGTACGGTGCCGCACCGTGTTGAGCGGCTGCAATGTACGGTGCCGCGCCGTGTTGAGCGGCTGCACGGTACGGTGCCGCGCCGCGTAAAATGAACAGTAAGGCAACGTCGCAAACCAATTTTTCTCCTTTTATATGTAAATTGAATTTTTCTCATGCGTTTCCGTAATAACAAGAAGAGCAGATTACGTGTTATAGGGTTTAATGTCGATTTTAAGACTAATCGTGAATTTTTGAACCTGAACAACGCGTTGTCGTAATACGATGCAGCATCGTACCGTGCATCCACCATGACATCGGCATTGCACTGTATATCTGCACGAAGTGGCAACGTGCCGCACTCCGCCGCGCCGAGGTCATGTGTGGCCACATTAGCGTTGCCAGACGTCCCGATTTTTAAATCAAAATTTAATGTCCCGCGCGGGACAGGCTTAATCCCGCTTTTTGGGAAAACTCGACTGTACTGGGAAAGCGCGGGCAGGTGGCACAAACAAGTGTGGACTTGTGAAGTGCCGCCTGCCCGGCGCGTAATGGGAATAAATAAATATTGAATAACTTTTGATCATGTATATTTTTACTATGTCCCGCTTTCGATGAAAGAATCCCGCTTTTTTTCACTCAAAATGTTCCTAAATCCCGACTTGGCAAAAAAAAAACTAGCAACGCTGGGCCACATAGTCTTAGTTGACTACACATTCATCGAGTGGTATGGGAGGTAGCGAGGAAAGGAGTCAAAGAAGTATGGAAACATTACCTACTCCTCATGCCGATGCCGCACGTTACGTTCCTCGTAATTCCCTATTTGGTTGATTTTTTGGACGGAGTCAAACGATTTAATGTAGATCGTCATGATTAATTGTATTAGTAGAACTGTGTATGGCAAGTGAGAGCAACATGCATGCAACATGCGAGGTCGCTGCAGCAAAGTTATGACAGCGTGTTGGGCATAGTAGAGCAAAGCCATAAGGACAACATGACATTTCGTATTGACGCAGTGGAAATGAAGATGGACCTCGAATTGGAACCTATGTTGAATAGTTAAGCACTTGTGGAAGTCTGATGAAAGCGAAGTTGATGTTGAACGGCCGGACACTTTACCATGATATCTTAGCAGGATACCAATTGAAGTAGAAAAATAACATTCTGTACTGTAATAACACTAGGTCTCCTACACAGTGTTAACATTCGAGTTGAGTCAGGAGATTATGTGGCACATGAGATGATATATATAATAGTCATATTATTAAGCACTTGGTTTTATAAATTGTTTTACCGAAGCGAAGTTGATTTTGCGCGGCCGGAGACTTTACTATGATATCTTAGCAGGATACGACGGTAACGTTATAAGTCGAAAAATAACATTCTGTAGACTAGGTTTAACTACACATTGGAGGAGTAGGTGGGACGCCGGCGAGGCGGCCTAACCTTCCGCATGGTGCAGATCCTGACTGGACATGGGTGTTTCGTTCACTATTTGCACCGGGTCGCCCGTCGGGAGAAGACGCCGCATTGCCATCACTTCGACGCTCCCGACGATACGGCCAAGCTCACCTTGTTGGACTGCTCGGCATGGCGACGACAGTGCCGCGAATAAATAATATTGGGAGGCGGCCGTCTGCGAGATGACGTCCTCGCAGAAGGAGGCAGCCGCCTCCCAAGCCGTCTGGCCGCTGAGCATGGCCTCGACCATGCTCGGCCGAGAGGGCACGGGAGGATAATCCTCTGGCCGCTCCCTCCCGCCGCAGGACAGGTAGGGGAAGCTGATGACGCGCCCTGGCCGCGCCCGCCCAGTTACCCCCCTACCTGAGGGAATCCCTTGCTGCCCGGCATGGCGTTAGCTAAGCCGGTCACCGATGGATTCCGTGATGGCAGCCCTCTCTTGTAGTTCGGTCCTACATGAGAGGGAGCCGCGGAAGGGCCTGTGAGAAAAACGCCTAGGCAGCCCTTTCGCAGCGGACGGGGAGCGGTGCGGTGGGCAATAGGCCGCGCACTTAGCTCCTAGCGTGGGCAGTCATGCGCACGTCAGCGGGATCTCTCGAAATACCCCGGGCGATCCCTGCCGTGGAGTCCCGGCTAGGCCGGGAGGCTGTTGGGTGCGGAGACGTGGTGAAGCCCGGGGATCTCGCGGGGTTCACAGCGTGAGTGCTTAATAGCGTAGAGGGTATTTGCAGGGTTTTTTAGCGGATAGTATACCGTAAGTGCTCGTAAGCCGCGCGGACTGCCTAACGGTTTCTCCGTTTCGCACCCGTGAGACTTGCGAGAGACTAGGTGAGAGATCCGTTCGTTGGTGTGCCTATCCCCTAAAGGGCGCCAACGTAATAGAAGTTTTGCTTGCGTAGTAATAAAAAAAGGTAAACCTACACAGTGTTAACATTCGAGGCGCAAAGCAGCAGTAGGAATTAATCCAAATAAATCCTCAGAACACTCCCCGTGGTAAATGCGGATGCTTTCTTTCCTCGAAGCTGCAATGCATTTTCGACGATTTCGAGTGTCTCACACCCATTAACAGTGAGGTGATCCGCCTGCTCTGTTAAATCGTTATTTGTCGGGAATATTAGAAGAATCCAAATGATTCCCGACCATTTGTTTACACAAGCCGGTAGTGGTAATATTTCTACTCATGCGGTGTTGGCGATTTCGACTACATTCATCAAAATGCGAGCAAGACTTTTCAAAACTGATAGCGCTCTGATATTGTACTTATAGGTAGCTATCAGTGCCTGAATTGAGCGCTCCATGTTAGATATAAAATGGCTCACGGTATTGTAAAGGAAACATCCCGATTAGGGCTAGGTCTATCATAAAATAGGAAAAAATATACAGATAGTGCAATTTTTGGTTGAAGGATGATTAGTGATAAAAAGATAATTATCTTATTATTATTTATTATTATCATTGATAATTAGTGTGTACCGATAACACTCAAATATTAGCGGAAGCTGTCACACATTTAATATAAACGGTTAGGAGGAATAGTGGGGCGCGTCTTCGTGGATTGCAATATCTGTTCCGAGTCTTAGAAAATAGATTACATGATTTTTTTTTAATGTCTTAGGTTCTTATATGGGGGTGTTTTAGTTAAATTTCTTATAATGTGTTGGTTATTTTTAAAGTTGGCCTAAAATCTTACCTGCAGCCGCCTTTGATACAGCCAGAGGTAGAAACGTTAGCCGGGGGATAGAACGAAGAAAGATTTAAGAAGTAGAAACGAAAGAAGGCTTATCGAATATAAAGAAAGAATAAGAAAAGGAAAGGTGTTTTTTTTTGTAATTATTGCATGGGATGTTGATAAGCAGGCGGGCCCCGGCCCGACCAGTTAATGAGAGGAGAAGGGTCCTCTCATCAACCGGCCGGGCCGGGGCCTGGATTACATGGTTAGGTTAGGTTATGTTATATTTCAGTTATTTTAGGTTTTATCTGCTGGAAAATTCCTATTGAGCTGAATTTTTGTATACACCTTTATTACGGTGTTGTAATGAAGATCCGCAAAATCGACATTGATATCGTGCCGACTAAAAAAGTTATAAAGGTCAAAAAGTCACGATCATCAGTTTTTCGCAAATATTTCGCGACCTATTGCCGGAGGTCAATAGGGGTCATTATAAAAATTGTTTGTCTTGCAATTGTCTACAAAAAATGCATCTTGCCTTTTTATATAATAAACCGTTTTCAGAGTATAGCACTGAGAAAGCGACTAGAATATACTTTATTGTATACCGTACACCAAGGCGTAAACTCTATTGCTTTTTTATTATTTTATTCATGTTCTAAAGTGTCTTAAAACTTTTAACTGATACTAGGATATTTTGTCAAAAATATACATATATATTAAAAAGGTTATTGGAACTTCGTTAAATCTACTATATATTATACAAACGGACACTACTGGCAGATATTAAATATTTTATTGTTCCGAGACCCGTCCCTTTATACCTGCTTCTACCTGTCAGACAGTGTTTAGCTCAGTTGTAGTTTTTTGAGCGTTAAAGAGGTTATATTAGTAGTTCAATTTACATTCACAAAAGTCACAGTATTTAAATATTCAATATTACCATCACCTCTAGCGATACTAGTATTTTTATTGATTGAAGACCACGCCTAAATTCTATTAAGTCACCATCCATTGTTTATAAAGCATGTATCGATCATTATGAAAACTGTTCAAGAGCATGAAACTACTAAAATAATGTCTTTAACACTCAATTACAATACCGTATGTGAGTGCATCCTCTCGCTTTCACAGCGCTTTACTCCGAAAACGGTTAATTTTACAGAAAAATACAAGAGGCATTCTTTGTAGATAATTTCACGACGAACAATTTTTATAATGATCTTTATTGACCTCTGAGCTATACGTTGCGAGATATTAGCCAAAAACTGTTTTTCGTGACCTTTTGACCTTTATAACTTTTTTGGCCGGCACGATTGGTCGATTATTCATATCTTCATTACAACGCAGTAATAAATTCAGCTTACTAAGAAGATTCAGACTGGGGTTTAAAATGCCTATAATGACTGGACCATTAGCGCTTTCCATCAGGCGGGACCTGATCAAACGCGAGTCTTCCTCTTAGTCTTACAATCCTGGCGGAGCGGTTGTGGTCATGGTTAGCCTTCTGATAAGTTGGCTGCTACTTTTGCAAGGCTAATTTATCTCTTCTATGTGTTGCTCTGCCCGCACGATATTTTTTATCTGTTTTTCTTGTGGGTGGCGGCGCTGCGAGAACATTGAATTAAACCTCTTCTTTTTCTCATATCTACCAAGGGTTGTTCCAAGAGCTTCCGTTGAGGATGATATGTTGAAACATCTCAAAAAAGAAGAAGAAAGTCTCCTGGATTTGGTAAATACTGATGGATTGGCAAATACTAATCGGCTGCGATATTGCCAAAAATTTACTTGATTCCTAGACATATTCAATGAGTTGTTAACATAAATTTATAACCTTTAAAGGTCAACACCTCCAAAAGGCATGCCATTTACTACTTTCCACAATCAGGTGTTTAAACTTGCGCCATTTCACTATTGGCCATTAGAGTTGAGTAGCGCCGTTACCCATAGGTATTGAATATTTATAATCAGCTAATTTATTATTTTAATTCGCGCATGTAAAAATGGAATTCGTCATCGACCATGAATATTTCCACATTAGTTATGTATTACAATGTTAAATGTTAAAGCCATTAAGCCTATAAATGGGTATTTATATACAATTAGGCGCAGTCCATTGTAGATACAAAGAATGACGATTACTTGCAACTGCAACACCATTTACGGCATTAGGCCGTATACAGAAAGAAAGCCGGTAGCCTACCAGCGCTTCATTAGAACCGGTCCGCGCAGGCAACCGGCGCAGGCATTTCTAATGGACTAGCGCCGATAAGCGCCGGAACTTGTCGGCGACGTTCGGTGCTTATCGGCGCTGGTCCATTGAAATTCCTGCGTCGGTAACCTGTGCGGACCGGTTCCTATAAGCGCTGATAGGCTACCAGCTTTCTTTCTGTATACATCCTTAGGTGTTCTTTAGTTTTTCAGTTACATTAAAAAGTAGGAATTCTTGTGAATACGCGATATTTTCTGGAACAATTTTATATTAACTTTGATATTACATTTATATGCGAGAGGAAATTCTACATAACATTTATTTCTTCTCCGCGCTTCCGTTGTTATTCAGTAAAGCGTAAAAAAAGCCGTAGATCATCAATAAATTGCTAATCGCCCAAAAATCCCACGACGCAAAGTGATACTCAAAGTGTTTAAAAAGCTTAGTTTATCGTTTGAAAGACCTAATTATAGAAAGCGTCCAGAGTGCTTATTATTACTCACTTTGGAGGTTTCCCAAAAAAATCCGTTATTGCTCGACCGCACCGCCGAATCTCCAACGGCCGAAATCCCCTAAATTAAGGTTTTTGCCGTTTTATCAAAGTCGTTTGTCGTTCATATCCACCGATCCGACCCTGATCTTATCTCTCGCCCGAGGTCCTTATGTCGTCGCATTAGAATTTCGGACCCTCGCGTTTTAGTTGAAAAATAGGTCTTGGAGGATTCGATACGGACCGTTCACTTTAAAGATAAATATTAGTTACTATGGCGTTTGGTACAATTGAAATGTATTTCTGATGCATGCAGTGTCAAATAATATTATCTCGTATTTTTGTGTTCGTGCGTTAATAAGTTTTGCAAAGCTCCACCTGGTATGAAATTAGCTCAAATGCTGACGAAGAACTCTGATGACGCAGTGCATTTTTGTGAGAAGTCGTATGAATAGGTACGAAATTATCTTGTTTGGGTGAGATACTAGATACTACAAGTTTTATTTGGCATCTCTCTTTAAACTTTGTTGATGCAGCGACCACTTTTGTGGATTATAGATCGTTCGTCCTACGTGATTTGCTTGTATCCTATGTATGGAATTCCTGTATTAAGACAATCAATCGTGGGAATATTTCATATATTGATAATAAATTATAATGATTATTTAAAAACACTGCCTGTGTTAGTTGGCGAAGTTTTAAATTCACTGTAGGAACTTCGTAAAATAATATACAGCTCCTTTTGTGAAAGTGAAAATGTCTTCTCTCAGTAAAAAAAGGAAATCTTAGTGTATTATTTTTTTGTATGATATTAGCATTTCCGAAAAGCAATAGTTCAAAAATATCATAAAGCATCGAGGATCTTATGCAATCAATATAGAGAATAGCTGGTGAGAATACCAATGCCGCTCAAAGAATATCCTATTAACTGTAATTATCTACCGACTAATGAATACACAATGGAACCTTCAAAACCATAAATAAAAGGTTTACGATCCACAACCGACAAGTTTTAAAGAAAAAATATGTGCTTACAAAAACTGAGGCAAAAAAACACACAAAAGCTGACGTCCTTGTAAATACCTAATGCTTGGGATTCCAATCACCGAGGCAAAGGAAAAGGTTCTTATCAACAATGAAACTGAAAATATCCTTTCGCTCACAAAACACCTTTTCTTTGATAGACAACACCAAGCATATAAAGCGCTTAAAGAGAGATGTGCTATATGGAAGCCGTTTGTGGATGGCATAGAAATTTGCTGCAGCGCTATTTTTGTAGAAACTGGAAACGAGACACCCGGAGCGAAATAAACGAGGGTGCCTCATTGATCCTTGTATGCCGGTTGGCATTGCAGGAAAATAGATCTTGTTAGTTTAGCTTATAGAGTGGGGATTGCATCGTTGTGTTTTCTTTGTAATATCGTTGGCTTACATAAAGGGGATGTGAGATCCGACAGAATTGCGCGTCGTAATGACGTCTCGACAATAGGTGTTCTGGGAACGAGACCTCTTTTTGCACTGTCTGTGCAAATTTGTAAACTATGGGAATTGCCATGTGGGTGCCGCTCATAATTCCTGTAACGGGACAGTAGGAAAGGGAGTTAGATACAATTTCTGATCTTATAAACTTGACAACGTTTTAGAGCTGGGTCGATAATTTTTGTGAGCAAAATAATTCGTAACAATATGAAAATCATACCAAAAGGAAGAGAACACTTTAAACAAAGAGGAAACATAAATTACGGGCGATTTCAGGTCGGGAAGGGGAATGGGAAGGTGTGTTTTTTGAGGGGGGAAAACCGCTAACTAGAACTTCTAATGAAAAAATTTCAATGGTAAAATTCTAGGTAATCTACATTTTGTATTTACACTATACATAACGTAAAAGTATCTACGAAAATATAAATAAAAAAATAAAATAACCGTCATTTTGGGGTTTTATTATTATCACCCACAAAAGAAAAATTTTTTTCGAAATTTAGTGAACGCTTACCTTCATATGTTCCAAACAGGCTCAATTTTTTCGATATAAAATATTTACTTTTCCCCATAAATTGATATTATATTGAAAAAGTAAGAAGAAGAAGTCAAAGAAGTTGATTTTTAAATAAGTTTGGTTCGCTTTTTGTTTTTGGAGTTCTTTCTGTTGGTATACAAAAATAAACATTACAATGGAATTTAATCTCAGAAAATGCAAATAGGTCCTGACGATTCTCGACTTTTAAGGGGCAGAAATATTTATTTTCGGGAAAACTACAACGACTACCGAAATAAATTCAATGACAAAATTGTAGGCAATTTCTTTTAATTGTCTACAATTTTGAGTTTACACTTATTTCAAATAACTTAAGTTTTTTGTGAAAAATCTAAATAACCGACTTTTGATTTTTTATTAAAAACAGAAATATAAGGGAAAAATATATTCTGTGCAGGGATCACTTCGTCAAGATTCGTTTTCGATCACTTTCGTTTAGATAGGACAATAAAAATCGTTCCGATAGTCGTATTCTGAGTATGCAATAAATCCCATTGAAAATAATTTTAAGCGACACGGAAAATCGGCATTTTCTTATACTTTTTTGTCTAAAAATTAAGGATACGTTTTTAATACTTTTGCTATGTCACCTACCTATGAGAGATTGTGAACAATACTGTACCAATTTATACTGTAGTCCCTGTTACAGAAATATTTTCCATGTGCATATTAATAGGAGTATTGACCGGCTCTACTATGGCTCCATGAAAATGCTTCTAATGCTTGCTTAAGCTACTAAGCTCAGTTGTTAATCTATAGGCTTACTGGCTTAGGGAGGATGTTCTAATCTAGAAAGATGATGAGTAATCAAATTAGGTTGGAAAATTGTTACTCACAAATGATTTCATCCTTGTATTTCTTCTTTGTCTTTCCCTTACAAATTACCTGCACAAAAATTAGCTCTTGTAGGTCATTATGGTTACTAAATTTTAATAGTACCTCTTATTTATTATAGGTAATGTTACAACCTAGCAACATACCTCTTTGGTAAGCATAAATCATGTTTCGTATTATTTTTGTTGAATATCCTTTAGATTAAATAAAAAATATATTTTTCTTACTTTTTGGTGGATTTCTGTTTATGAAGTTGGTTTTAATTTTTCTCCCTTTATAAGCCACATTGGCGCAACATGAACTAACATAACCTGTATTCCCTCTTGAATTTTCTTAAAATTACCAAACACAATATTTGTATTGTTTCTAATTGAGGAGTTACATTGTTTGTCTTCGAAAGTACTCCTCAGATCATCTTAAAATAATATGGAAAAATTCTGTTACAAATCATCCAAACAAAAAAGTTCGACACAAATATAGGACATGTGCGAAACATGATAAAAAAACTATTATACTGACAAATTGAGAATCTCCTCTTTTTTGAAGTCGGTAAAAAAAAACAAAATATACAAAAGTTGTAATGAAAGCAAAAAGGAATATAAAAAGGAATAAGCAGATTAAAGTAAAGGCCAGAATTCAATCACTGTGTTTCACCAAAATACCCAACTCGAATAGGAAACATCAAACTTTGCAGAGTCGACAACCCTTTAGATCCACCAGGCGCAGCATTCCATGGATAAATATTCAGCGTTTCGTTTTTATTAACATTACCCCGGGCGAGGGGGTACACTGGGGTCGTCGGAGGGAGGCAGCGGAAATTGAAAACCCACGGCCGTCGGGCTTCATAAGCCCACCCTCCTTATCTGCACGACTCGTATGGGTGCACTGGAGTGCGCGTGATTCATGACCAGTGAGTATTCGTCACACCGTTTCAATGGGATTAATTGGAATAGGATTTTTATTAAATTGGCACAATCGATGGCTGGAGGGTTGAAGAAGTTGCGTTTGACGTTAGAAGTGATCGGCTTTGCATTAATATTAGTCCACAGTATTCACACTCCACAAAACACGTATGCTTCTATTGATAAAACAGTTTTTTTAGTAGAACGTTTGATTTTTATTGATGTTCGAAGTATCAGTAGATATATAACTAAAATCTTCAAAATTAAGTTTTCAATAATTTATTATAACTAACTTGTCCGCACTGAGCCTTCGTGGGGAATCATGGCTATCCTTCCTATTCCATCCATTTGGAATGCCTGCTCCAGCAGTGGCAATATTAAAAAGCTGATGATGATGATGATAAATAAAAGTGTTTCATTTCGCAGTTACCTACTTACCTACTACACATTCTTTGTAAATCAGCAACAACAAAGGAAGTTGTAGGTAATGACTTATCGAACCTCAAGAATTCCTTTTGACGATATTTTTTCAATTCCTTTAATAATATGAATCATGAACATGACTAATCGTGTCAGTTCAATGCGTAAGATTCCACAATAAAGGATCAGGGTAGTTATAATTTTAAAACAGAACTAATTGGTGATTTGCAGTTTTCAAGAAACTACTGAGCGTGTTGGTACTATGTAGAACTGTCCATTATCTCGTCGTTGCGAGACCATTACGTATGCAAATGTGGAAACTTCGATTATCGAACATGAAGAACTTGAAAGTCACGTATGCTTAAAGTATCTCGTTTAAATTTAGTGTCTGCCGTTAAGATTCGAATCAATACCTGATTATTATGAAACTTCAGAATGGTTGTACTTTCTTGTATAGCTAGGTAGTTGTGTATTTTTGTTTGATTTTGCTGGATTGGCAGGAAGAAATTGAAGATTGACTTGTTTCTCGTCGTGAGGGTTACTAGATTTGAGTTGATGTTATTGACATTGACATCTACGAGTACCTTTTTTTCTTTCTCAACTGCCAGCATCAAAGATGGTATCAGCAATTTGACAGAGTCAATTTTATTTTACTGCCGGAAAGTCTGGATTTTCAAATTCTAGCCGGAATTAAGCGATTAGTATCTTAATAAAGTTTTTTTTATTAGGTATGATCTGGGATTTTAATGACCTTTAAAATCATTACTTCTTTTACTATATTTGGTTTATTGGGTTTTGGATGAAATAGTTGGTGTGAGTCAAAGATATATAAATATTTGTAGTTCAATAATGTCTTTAAAAGTTAAATGTTTTAAATATGTTAATGAGTCCGAATGTTAAAATATTTTTGAAAATCACCTAAGCTTCAAATCGTGCACACGTATCTTCGATAGCCTTAAGTGGAGTTTTAAATTTGACGTATTTACTTTATTTTTTTTAATATTTTCCTAAAGTATTTGAAACGAGTTTTAAAGTAAATTTTGAAAGTACTTGCTTATATGTATCAGAAGAGAATGCAGTCTTTCTTTACCTGTCACATATCGTTGCGATTGCAGCATAGCACTGTGCTCGTGCGCACGGAACAATTGGCGGATGGCGAAACGTCGGCCATTGTTCATTCGAGCTGTCGCAACGCAACAGATCATTTATCTATTGGGCTTGCCGTTTTAGTATGATAGGTTTATAATAAGGGAATAAAACACGTCTTCACGGCTTCACCCATCCTTTGGATAGATAATATTCTACTATAATTTAAATTAGAAAATATTCATAAGCCATGCGTGTGAAAAATACTTTGACAAGGTGACATGCAAGGTGCATTAGTGTATCAACGTAATTCTATTAATTATTATTTAGGCTGCGTTTTCACCAGAAATATGTGACAGTTCGATGCATAGCAAATTTATAAATGAAATTCTCCTAAGAGTACAACATACATATAAAACTAGGGAATATGTGTGCGGGGGGTATGTGCTCGGAATGTGGCCAATGGCGAGTGCTTTGGATAGAGGCGAGAATCTCATAAGAGCCCACTTCACATCTTAGCCCATCTCTCTGGTAGGAATGAAGCTTTATACAGGGACTTCACTGTCAAAAGTATATCATAGACTTTATTATCATTTAGTTGTGTTGGTGCTGGTATTTTTTTGAGGTATAAATAAGATAACGTGTGCATGCATTCTCGATATAGAGATATTTATTCTAATCTATTCTCCTCTGATTGTCGGCATGTATCTAGTTCGATATTCGTATTTAGAGTTGCACTAACAACTTTCATAAGAATATAGTAAAATGTTCACGCCCGGATTCGATGTGCATCCGCGCGGATCCACATCGGATCCGCGCGCTTACATAATGATTACTAGTCTCCAAGTAAGGAAGTTCTTCATTTTAATACAGATTATAAGAATCGAAAATATTAGACAGACATGACAAAAATTCAAAGCTATTAAATAAACGAAACATATAATCTTTTCATTATAACAATCCGATATAATAAGTTGAGTGGACAAGCTGACGGGTTATAAGTAGGTATGGTATGTTGTTATATTTATAACAAGCCTGCCGATCCGCTCCACTGGGTCGAGTCGAGTCGGGCGCAAGGCTATAGTCTACATTCGTGTCACAGAATAAGTATGGATAGATGGGCTGCTTTGTGCACTTCTGTAAAATAATATATAGTTACATGGACTTATTTTAGAAAAATATTTTTATATGATATTGTGAAGTCGCTTTTATTATTGTCATGAAAGTATAAAAACCTCTTTTTTTTAAGTCAGAGCAACATCGGCTAAACTTCGGTACTAGGTCAGGTAAAAAACAAGAGCCATATATAAACTGCTTTTTATTTTTCACAAATGACTACTTTTCCCAATTCAGTGACGTTCATTGTTGACATTTTTTTCTGGTACTGATAGTGAAGTTCCATTTGACTTTTATGTTTTGTAACAAACGTTATTACTTGGTAAATTAAATTATGGTATAAAGTTATAGTATTGCAACTCGTGGTATACTCAAGTATTATTAATTAGTTCCGATGACCTCGTGTGGTCTTGATCTCACTTCCAATTTAGGTAGCTGCCATTTTAGACAATACTTCGATATGCATCACGTCATTAGTATTAGATATTTGACATTTGACAGAAATCCGAATAAATGAGATCGTAAGTGAGATTGCATCTTGCAGAATACCTATGCAGATAGCACTTGACGGGAGTAAATTGAATTGTTTCTTTCAAAAATAGCTAAGTTACTAAAAATGTGCTATTCGTTTGTTTTTGAAGAATTCCCTTGATTTTTCCAGTTTCTTATCATCAGATCCTGACCGGATTACCATGGTAGGCTGAAAAGTATACCAGTGCAAACGAAAAAAATATTTTCAAAATTGATCCAGCCCTCTTCGAGTTTTCGACGAACTTACACAAAAAAGGGATTCCGACGAATCAAATCGAGAAATTCGTCCTCCGTCTTTGAAAGTCGGTTAAAAATTACAACTGTTTATTAAATTACGGACTGTTGACAAAAATATACTAAATCAAGCTTTTGTTCAAAACTATCGTTGAGCTGCTGAGCTGAGGCTTGACTGGATCGGAGTCTTACTTTACCAAATCCGCAGTGGCCCGAGCCGTGATAGATCATGGCGTGTTCTTTCTATGTATTCGATGTTTAAAACATACATAGATAGACGAACTTCTTAGCAATCCATGCGGGTACCGGGTCCATCGTATGGGATAGAGAGGAACTCTGAGCAGTTCCCGGGACTTGCGACCCAAGTGTAGGTTTAACGAGGCCCCTTTTGAGATGCGCATCAACGCTCACCTTCACTGCTCGAGTTGCCCGCCCTTCCTAGCCAAATTTGATAGGAGCCTGTTAGTGCAGCCTTAGTTACTCGGTCTCGATTGAACCCAATACTGCGGTTCTCGAGAGGCCGAGGTCTTTTAGAAGATTATAGAGAGATTTTGCTGATATACCTCTCGCTCCTACTTCTACCGCATATAAATTAACTAGATAGCCATTTTAGTTAGTTCGTTGGTAAGATCGTAATATTTATTCAATGTTATTGTGTGGTCTTTTGGAATCTTAGTTCCCCACGGTACAGTAAGCTCCTTTAGTGCTATATGTTTGATGCGCCTAGAAAAGAGGAAGTTTACTATAGTTTTTTTTCCTAAATGGCTTCGCACGGATTGTGCATTTAGCCAATGTCAAGTGTTAAAATGTTTACAAATTCTATAGCACTCGTGGTCAAAGTAATAAATCAAGTCAAAGTAAGTGGCAGTCAAATCAATTCCCCTTTCCCAATGTTTTAATAAATGTGTGGGGATTTACTGCAACCTCCCCGTGGACTTCCTGAGGGTACGTCGAAAGACACTTTCCGCTATTTTGTTTCATTTGCCAACACTTGTGCATGTTCCCGAATACTTAGTGGTTAATAATCCACCATTATTAGACACTAACATCCGCCACAACACAATTTATAACAAGAAAAACAAAACTGCTAATGTAACGCTTTCCGATCCCGCCAAAAAGTCCGTTACTTTAGTTAAAATAATGTAGAAAACATAAACATTTGAACATTCAAGATTTTATAAATTCTACTACGCATTTGACGTGACATTAAGACGTCTTAATGTCACGTCAACTATATATATAGTCTTAATGTCACGTCAACTATATATATAGTCTTAATGTCACGTCAACTATATATATAGTCTTAATGTCACGTCAACTATATATATAGTCTTAATGTCACGTCAAATGCGTAGTAGAATTTATAAAATCTTGAATGTTCAAATGTTTATGTTTTCTACATTATTTTAACTAAAGTAACGAATTTTTTGGCGGGATCGGAAAGCGTTACATTAGCAGTTTTGTTTTTCTTGTTATAAATTGTGTTGTGGCGGATGTTAGTGTCTAATAATGGTACTTGGCATGAACTAAACCTTCTGTATATTCGCGCTTTGTATATTGGTCTTGTAATCTTGTAACAACAAACTACACTTCATCATACTAAGTCATAGTTAAGTGCAAATTATATGACTGTGCTAATAAAACAAAGACTTATTCTATAATCATATTTGCTATAAAACATATCTTTGTCATGTACGAGTAATAACATGGCGTTTACCATTATTTATTACATGTACCGAAAGTAGGTATCGAGATTTTCCGTGTTTGGAGTTTATTTACGGTAAATGTTGATTGTAGTTATCAGTATTGCTAAATCAGTCGTAATTATTATGTATGTATATTAACGACTCATAAATCTTTTCTTAAAGTAGCATACAGAAAATATTACAATGACTTCTGCAATACTGTGTTATCTACTTAATTACATGTTTAATACTTAGCTTAGACGATTAATTATAAAAACCCTTGAACTATAATAAAACATGGTTGTTGTTGTAGACGTATGTTATAGGCGCGCGTATTTTATGATAGGTAGGTAAATGAATCTGCAAAACAGGAAACCTTTATTTTTTAGCATTTGTAAACTGTCAGGGTGTATTTATGTGGGAGACTAAAGTAAATGTATGCGTAATTATGCAGGTAAATCGATTTAATCTACAAAATAGGGAGTGCGTGCTGAGCATTTTCAACCTCCGATGGAAAAAGAGAGATGTAAGTTTGATGATTACTGTAGACTATCCAATGAGCTACGAGTATTTGTAGATTCTGCTTCCGTGAACAATCTATGCCGAGTAATTGTAGACTTGGCGGTCTCTTGAAGTGAACCGAAAGCTGTTGCTTTTTGTCGTGATAACGTCTTATATATCGATGAACACCGGCTACTCGAACGAAATAGTGTGATGTCATGTTGTCACGTTATGAGACGTCATGTCAAGAGTCACGAGTTAGTTTAACGTTCTGCGGTGCGTGTTATTATTTCAAAATGGTTTAGACGTATTACCGCTTTGGCAAAACACATTTTTTGAGTAGGTACATACACATGTTAATGATTTAACAAGTTAA